GGAAATAGAGCGATTTTGAAAAAGCCCTCCTTGAGTAGCTTTTTCTGCGCAGCTCATCATTTCTGCCCATTCTAAACACATTCCAACCAGCAGAATCGTGCCAGGACACCCCGTTTTCCGAACCCTAACCCTACCCTGGCGCACACCCCTAACCTTAATATAGGGCTGAAATACCATTGGAAATAGGGCGATTTTGAAAAAGCCCTCCTTGAGTAGCTTTTTCTGCGCAGCTCACCATTTCTGCCCATTCTGAACACATTCCAACCATCAAAATCGTGCCAGGACACCTCCTTTTTCTAACCCTAACCCTACCCTGGTGCACACCCCTAATCCTAATACAGGGCTAAAGTTCCATTGAAAAGTGGGCGTTTTTGAAAAGCAGGACAATTTTTTAAAGTTCGCCACCACCGGTTTCGGAGAAAAAGCAGTAAATGACAGCACTTTATACAAGTGCCTGTGGCATAGAAAAAGCTGAAAACTTTGTCTCCACCTCCGTAATACTAAGCCTCAGAATGAAACACATTTGGTCTTAAATTAGGGGCAGGCATGTTTACCATACGGACTTCACTGTCGTAAGATCTGATGAGGGCTGCTCACTTAGATGGCTTTAAAAAGGGGATGTGACCTGTTCGTGGAGGACAGGTGGATCAGGCTGGGATGCGGCTGCAGGATGCAGCCTCCAACCCGCAGAAGGAAAGATGCTGGGAGCCGAGAACGAGAGGGACCACAGAAAACCGGCGGTTCTGCGGCTTTGAAGCCAGGCTGTATCTGCGTCACAGTTCTGTTTGCAGCTGAAGCTTCGGCCAGGGCCGGGGGCCGCACCCCACGCCTCCTGCGAAGGCCCCCAAGCCAGGGTGGTCCCCGTACCTTGTAGCCCGACGTCTTCACGTGGAGGCCCCTCTTGGTGAGAGTTGACTTCAGGCGGATGAAGAAGGAGCGCTCCAGGGCATCGCTCTCGGCGGGCCGGGGGCCGGCGGGATCTAGGACACAGCAGGGGGTCAGTGTCACACCGCCTCTGCGGCCCCACAGGCTCCCCCTGGCAGCCCCCCCCCCCCGAGTCTCCCGGCTATGAAAATGCTGGTCCAGGGTGCAGACGCAGCTGTAGAAAAGGTGAATTCTCAGCTATGGGTCATTGAGGAACAGACTGAAAACAAGGCCCCAGCCATACTGAGCAAGTTAGCCTTCGTCCTGCTCGGCATGTTTACAGCCTGCTTTCCTTCCTCTTGCCAGGAACCCACAGCAACTGACAGGATTCTCTTCCTCTCCATTTCATCCCAGCAACAACCCTGCGGGGTAGGTTGGGCTGAGATCCTCGCCTGGCCCCCGGTGAGCTCCATGGCTGAGCAGGGACTAGAGCCGAGTCTTCTGTCCCACACCACGATGGCTCTCCCTTTACCTGCCCCCCCAAAATGCAGACTTGTGTTGAACAGGGAGCTGCCTTACCCTCAGGGGCGATCAGACAGGGACTGCATCTTTCCCCCAAGACTTCAAGCAGCTGAAGGTAACACCAGAAATATGGAAAGGGCTTCAGAAGCATTTCTGTCCCGTCCGCTGGTCCTCTGCTCGGGACAGAAATGCCCCCGTGGCTTGGTGAGCAGGGGGTGACATGGGGTGCAGGACAAAACCGGGTGGGAATGGAACATCTGGGGCCCTGAACGGAAGTGCTTTTCTTGGGGGGTTCATTGCTGTTTTCCTTGGCGATCCAGCAGGGCTGTCCCCCTCTTCTCTTGGCGAACCCCCCCTTTGATTCCTCCTGCCTGCAAAACGGGTAGCCCACTGCTGGAGCGATTCCGCACATCCCTTTCTGGAGGCAGGAGACTTCCGAGTCCGGGACCCCGACAGCTGCCCTTCTGCCCCTTCCTTGCAGGGTTCGCGGAGGCAGGTGGCTGACTCTGACGGGGAGGCAGTCGGAAGAGGGGCACCTCCAGGCCAGGCCAAGCCAGGCCAGCAGGCCTCCCCCACATTCTTCGGAGAAGGAGCTCAGGGCCGAGTGCTGATCTGCTATTCTCTTTTACTCTCAGTCTTGGTATAAATCTTTCACAAGCTCCCCACATAACAGCCAAGTGGGCAGATATCAAACAAGCGAGAGCCAACGCGGGATTCCACTCCATTCCTCACCCTCCGTGTCCTCTGCTCGTCCAGGTGGGAGAGGGAGAAGCCCCTCCCCACCAAGCGCCTCCCACCGACATGCAGCGCAGCTTCGGGAACAGCCCAGAATGGCATGAAAGCACCGGGATCATTGCCGTGGGGTCAGCTTCCAAGACGTGAGATCGAGGCCGTGCAAGGGCTGGAACCTTGGCATCGAACCCCTGCCATTTCCTCCGCCTCTCCAGTCACAGCTTTTGGTAGGTGGGGCCTCCTGCCAGCCCAAAGTTGAGATTCTGTGGGGGTCTCCTGGGGGCTTCAAGGGAGCCTGCTGGGTGGCATGGAAGGTCCCCCCCAGCCCCTGGCTTGGGAGGGCCTTTGCACCAGTCGCCTTTGGGGGCCCCTCCATCGGAGCTGGCCTCCTCCTGGCTCCCCTTTGCCTCGCCACAGAGGACCGCAGCACCCAGCCCTTCCTCCGCACCACCTCTGTCACCTGGGCTGGTGCATGTGAAGGAACAGGACCTCCAGCAGCCCCAGGAGCTCTCTCTGGGCAGCCTGCGCTGCAGCCGGGGCCCGGCAGCTGCCCAACCACCCTCTGCTTCGGGGCTGGGCTGCTTCCATGGGGTCACGGCGGTGGGAGCTGGTGCTCAGCCCCGTTCACGGTGCAGCAGTTCCCTGACTGCACACAAGCAGCTGTGCTGGATCAGGCCCACACCAGGGGGCCACCCGTCCAGCCTCGCCCCGTGTTTCCCGGAGCAGCCAGCCAGACGCCTCCGGAGAGGCAGAGGCGGGGCTTGGAGGCCATGGGTTGTATCCGGATTAGGCCAAGGCAGGCAGGCCCATAGAGGTGCGTGGGGTGCCAGAGACCCCCCAGAGCGGTCCTGCTCTGCCCCAGGAAGCGGCCGTTTGAAGCCCGTTTGGAGAGTCCTTCTGACCACGTCAACATTTTCCTACGGCGTGTTGAGGGGCAGCACAGCCCTAAGCTAAAACGGGCTACGCCATGGTCTCTCTCCACCCCATCCCTCTGCGATGGCCTCATCCAGCCGCTCCCAAAACTGAACTGGGCCCTGCTCTGAAAAGCCGCAGGGCAGGGCAGGGCAGAAGGGGCAGAAGGGGCACCCCTGGGCACAGGGAAAACCCCCCACCCTTGCCTTGCTGGCCACCCACATGTCCCAGGACCACGAGGCCGGGCGTCGATGCTGGGCGCTCAGCACCGCTTGCGTTACCCAGGAGCCGTACCGGCTTCGGAGGCCTCCACGCGGCCAGAAGAGGCGGCCGCTGCCAGACCAGGGGCTTTCTGGCGACCGTGGGGGGCGGGGTCCGAGGGCGCCTTCAGGCCCAGCTGCTCGGCGACTTCTGGGTGGTCTCCTGGGTGGACGTAGTCGAAGATGCTGCTCCCGGTCAGCTCCACCTGGAAGGCAAAGCGCTCGCCGGGGAGTGCCGGGCAGCGGGCGCACCGAGCCACCTGTGCGTCGTGCATCCGGCCCTCCCCCGTCCCCCCCCCCGATCCAGGTGGCGGGCCACTTGGGGGGCCGGCCCGGGAAGGGCCTCGCACGGCCACCCGTCCTGCAGAAGGGCCGCAAAAGTGAGCCTCCCGCAAAGGGGACGTGGGAATGCAACGCAGCGGCGAGGCCGAGTCGTCTGGCCGGCGGGGACTCCAGGGACCGGGCGCGCGGAGGTCCTGCACCCGCCTCATCGGGCACAGGGGGCGGGGCACGCGGCTGCAGGGGCGGGGCATGCAAATCGCGCGCGCGGAGGCGCCCCCAGGGCATTCTGGCCGGCCAGGGGGCGCCGCTCCGCTCCGGGCGGCCAGCGAGTGCGAAGCCCCGGGGCACCGGCCCACGGCCACGGCCGCCCCGCTCCGGCTGCGGGGCCAGCCGAACTCCGGCCCGGCCCGGCCCCCTCCCGGGCATGGCAGGGTCAGGGGCAGGCGCGGCGCGGCGCGGCGGCGGCGGCCCCGCACCGCCGTGACCTCGGCGCCACCCCGCCTGCCGCCCCGGCGCGCCTGCTTAGCATGCAGACAGCGGGACCGGCTCGCCTGATTTGAATACGAAAGGTCAGCGCTTCAGGTTAACGCTTCCCACATCATAATGAAGGGGTTGCGGTGGGAGGAGATCAATAAATAATAATGCGGAGGTATCGGCTTGCTCTCGAGGAGGGTCGGCGCATTTAAAGGAGCTGGCCCTCATTACAGATGCAGCCGCAACCTGCAATTTGACGGAGGCGTTGAGGGAGGCTGCGGGGGGCGGGGGGGCAAGGCAGGGGCTGCCCTCGACCGCCCCGTGGATGGGCCGGTGCTGCCCCGGCCCTGTCCCTGAAACCTGTGCAGCGCCTGGCACGGTGTCAGCCCTCCCAGGCTGGCTCTCCAGCAGCACAGAGAAAACGATGGACGCACTTCTGGGGGCACCGGGTTGGGGAAGCCTGGCGCACCCGATGCCACAGGGAAAGCCAGGAGGAAAAGAGGGGGGGGTGCTCGTGTGAACTATTGTGCGCCCAGGCGGTGGCCGGGCTTGGTCGTCGCCGGCAGATCCTTTTTTGAAAAAAATAACATCAGCTCTTGCCCGAGAGAGCCAGAGATGGGGGGAAGCGGGGGGGCGGGGAGGGAGGAGAGCGACCCGACAAAGGCCCGGCGCCTCCAACCCGTGTCTGAACAGGGCGGTTCAGGCAGGAGCAATCAGGGAGCACGTGCACACGGGGGCTCCCTTCCAGGCCCAGCACAGATGCAATTTATTGCGGGATGCAAGAGTCACCTTCCTGCCACACACACACAACCCCCAACTCTCCCCCCCCCCCGTCCCCTCTGCCTTTCTCCTAGGGCCTGCGGCAAGGTCCTCTCCATCACGATTTAATGCCGCATCAAAGGGCCGCCTTCTCCTTGCCTGCGGTTCGCTCTAGGTCTGGCGTCTTTGCTAGAGAGTAGCTTGAAAGTGCCCGGTTTGTACATGGGGGCCCTGGGGAGCCGAGCGCGCGAGAGACAAGAGCCTGCTCCCCCCCCCGCCTGCTCTCCGCTGCACCCCAGTTGCCGGAGGGGGGGAGCCGAGGCAGCCCTGCAAAGGAAGCGGGCGGGGGGGGGGGACACACACAAGGCATTCAGTGGGGCTTGGCACTTACACCCGATGCCGTGAAAGGGGACCGAAACCCCTCCGGAGCAGAAGCTCGGGGGTCCCTGACTGGCCAGACAGCCGGGTGTGCATTTGGCTCACATGGCCTGCTCCTCAGAGAGGTCAAAGCATCCCTGGCATCACCTGGTGCAGCAGCTGTTCTTTAAACAGGTGGAGGCTGAGGCCAGCCCCCCCCCCAGCCCCCGAAGGGTCTGGCATCCAGTGGGGCTCGGCAGGGGGTCCCGGGAGGCAGGGCCTCAGCAAGGCCTCCGGACTGCTGCTCGCTGGGGGAGCCCCGGCCCTGGGGGTGGGGCTGAAGTGGGGCAGAAGCCACGGGCTCAGGCAAAGGCCCTTCTGCTCTGCCCCCCCCCCCCCGCCCTGCCTCGGCTTCTTTCCCTCGGCGTGTGGGGCAGCGCAGCCGCGGGGAAGACGCAGGGCTGCCAGACCAGAGGGCGGATGCTGCCGCGCGTCCCGGGGAAGCGTGCCTGCACACCGGTGGCCGGGAAACACGGCCGGCCGGCCGGCCACCACCACCCTCCTTCCCACCGCCGGGGCCCCTTGGGCCGAATGGAGACCCGTGGCCGGAGTGAGCAGGGCGCTCCCCTTCCAAGCACGGCCCGGCAGAACGGGCTGGCCATCACTCCGGCCACGCAGGCCGCCGTCCCTGCCTGGGCCCCGGGCCAGGCAGCCGCCCTCCGCCTGCGAGGGAGCCCCCGGCCGCCCCCTTTCATCCAGCTCTCGTTGCTTCAGGGGAAACGCCGAGCCGAAAGGCGCAGAGGTCTCCGTGGGCATCGCCGGAGAAAAGCGGGCGCTATTGATTGGCTGGATCGGTGCGCGCCCCTCGCTGACCTCCCGACGTCACCCGCACCCCCACCCCGCTCTCACGTCCCTTGCATGGCTGTCAGGGTGAAAGCGAAAACGGGGCTGCTAAAAGGAAGAGCGGGAGGCGGCGAGGAGGGCGCTGCGGGGGCGTCCCTGTGCAGGGTCGGCGTGGGCAAGCGGCGTCCGGCGGGCCCGTCCCTTGCTCAGTGGCGAATCCTCTCCCGAGTTGGAACGGCAGGGGGACCCGGGGTCGTCCCCGTCAGCTCGTGGTGCGAGGCCGCTCTGCAGGGCCAAGACCTGGCAGCATCTGCAGACAGACCTGGAGAAGCGCTGCTCAGAACCCTGCAGAGCGGCCGCTGCCAGCCCGTGCTGGCGGCAGGGAGCGGGTCGGGACAGAGGTGCAGCCCGCTCAGCGCGAGGCAGCTTCCCAGTTGGCTAGGAAGCACCTGCCGGAACCAACTCACCTGCCCTTTGGGGAACAGTGAAACCCAGGTGATGGATTGCAAGGGCTTCTTGAACCAGCTGTGGGGGGTTTCCAGTAGAAGGAGTATTTGCTCTTCTCGGGACGGGCTGGTCCACAGCAAATAGCCCTTCTCCCACTTGGCTCGGACAGGGAACCCCTCGGGCCCTTCTTCGCCAAAGGCACCACTTTGCTGCCTGCCTCCTCGTTAGTGAGATGAGCAAGAATGTGGGAAGAGCGCCCCCCCCGCACTGGCCTCTCGCTCCCCACAGTGGCCAGCTGGCTACCTCTGGGAAGCCCGCCAGTCAGGGAGACGCCGCACTCGCCGGATCTGGCTCACTTCGGTCTGATGCCTGGCTGGCCGCAGCTCCCCGCAGGCTTGGGCCAGGGTTCCAGCTCTAGCCAGGGAGGGATCCAAGCACGGCAGCCGCAAGGTCCTGCCCCCCCCCCACCAGCTCTCCTGCGAGAGGGAAGGAAAGACACCCCAAACAAGGTTGCGTCTCTCTTCTCCTCTGATCAATCAGCCCAGCTTGGGAGGAAGGCCGATCATCAATTATCAGACAAAGCGTGCTCAAGTGCTTCGTTTGTAGCGGAGATAATGACTGCAATTAATTATGTGGCAAGGGCCGGGAGAGGAGAATCCGGGTGCTGAGAAATAAAGGGGGCCGGAGCGCTGCTCTCCGGATGTCCTGAACCCCAACAGCAGGACTGGACTCATTCCTCTAAGCTAAAGAAGCCACAACCGTCTGAAAGGCATGGATGGAGAGGAATCCTCATGAGGACTACACACATGCTCGGTCTCTTTTAAAAGAGCAGCTGGGATTCTCAGAACTCTGCGGGCACTCCCTAGTTTGCACTAGAAGGCCATATTAAGCAAAGGACGGGGCAGCTACACCCAGCCCAACCCACGCCGGCTGTCCCACGGGGGCCAGCGGTGAGTCGCGACGTGTTTTCCAGGCTGTCGGTCCTCCACCTGGCCGTGCTGGAGACAAAGCTCTCGGCTATTTGCAGCACAGCCAGCCTGGCTGCGTTACTCAGGCGCTGTACATCTGGCCAAGAGTGGGATTTTTTATGTCCAGCCCGAGCATGTATTATTCACATTTTAGTACACAGCTCACACAGTTCCTACCTGCGAGAGCCCGAGGTAAATAGACACCGTCTCAGAGATGTAAAGGAATTTTCCCTCTTGGTTCAGTGCAAACACAAACCCATCCAGGGACTATGGAGGGAAAGAACAGAAACAAGCATTATATATATATTTCAAATTATGCAGGTCACTTCTTTTGCCAAACAGAAGGGGAGGAGAGATGGGAGCTACGTGTCGGGCAAACATAAAGGGAAGGTTGCAATGTCTTATTTAGTAACCCTTGGGTCATTGTGTCATAAGGACTAGAAACTCCACCCCAAAGATCCAAGTAGCTGCCAATGCATTAAAACCCAGAAAAAGTAATAGTATTTGTAATTACAAGATGCAGTGAGGGCCGCCCTCTTGGATGGCTTTAAAAGACAGGTTCACTGAGGAAGGGAAGAGTATCAGGGATCCCAAGCCTGGATGCCTATGTATTCATATTTTGTTTAATACATTCCTACACTACCCAATAGCCAAAATGCTCTGGGTACCTCACAAAGAATACCAGCCCCAAAACACAGTTTGAACGAAACATCATGTAAGACTTGTAAAAGTTTAAAGCACACTAAAACGTGACTGGAAAACCTACAGAAAAGGGCTGTGCTTTCTCTCCGGTGTCCGAGGCCGTCTGCCCCCGTACGCCTGCTGTGGGCAACCGGGTGGCCACTGTGGGGGCTCTTTCTCAGGCAGAAAGAAGCACTCCCTGGCCTTGCGACCCAAATGGGGACCACGCGGGGTCTGAAGCTCGGGCCTCGCGTGGGCGAGGAAGCGCCTGCTCGCCTGCCAGGGCAACCTTCCCCGATCGTGTGCCCGCCACGTCCGCCGGACTGCGGCTGCCGGACGGCCCGGCGGGACAGTCGAGCCATTCGGTTGAACGCCCAGGCACAAACCGGCGTTCAGGACCTTCGCTTTGAGAGGCGCTTCGTGGACCGGTCCGTTTTACGGCTCGGGCGTGAACGGCACGCCTGCCCCGGACACCAGCGTCAAGAGCAGAGCTTCAGCGCCCCTGGCTGAGTTTTTGTCCCGGCAGACCCCCCCGGAGCAACGGTGACTGGGGGCGTAAGGAACTGGTGCACGAACTGGAGACGGGACTCCTGCTCCGGCTGCTTGTGGGAAGAGGACTGGCTGGCCGCGTCCTCGGCACACCCCAGGCGTGCCGGGAAGGGCAGCTGCGGCCCAGAGCCCCCGCCGGCGGCCCCGTGGCCCAGGACACAGGAAACTGCTCCCGAGGCGACGCGAGGCGGAAGCCCCGGACCTCCTTTGAATCGAGCCATGGCAAAGGTTGCCGGATGCCAAGAAATGCCCGCTTCACATTCCTAGCCAAAACTCTTCTGGCTGGGAAGCGCCGCTCCCCATCCGGTCCTCAGGCAGCCCGGGAGAAGTCAGGAACCCTCCCCCAAGCACGGGTAGCAACGAGCCCACGGCACGCAGGCGGCTGCCCAGGGATTTCCACCGCGGCGCCGAGTTCGGCTCCCCGGGCTTGCCCAAACGTGGCCGGCTCGTGGCGCGTGGGCCAGAAGCAACTCACATCCGTGGTGCCGAAGACAAGGGAGGCTACAAGCCTCGTGGAGTCTGGAGAAACTTGGTGGGGGGGATTGGGGGCCTGCTTGACCCCTTCTTCACTGACCTTTTCGCTGCTCTAAAAAACCGCCCTCAAGCAGCTTCTTTTCTGCCCTCATTTGAAAGCACACTCCACAAACACACGTGAAAAGACAGGTGGGGAGGCGGGTAAAGATGGGCAGGAAGGAGTTAAACACTCCCCCTCCCCCACACACACACATGCGCTTCACCATTTCCAACTGCCTGTTCCCACAGTAATTTCTCAGGAAGGATAAAGGGACACCCTATCATTTTATCCTGACACACACCTGCATGCATCATGCACTCTGAGCGGAGGAAGAACTTGCTTCCAACAAGTTTCTAGCCCTTAGGGTCACCACAATATGTTTGAAAAGGAGTAGGCAGTAACCAACGAAATCTTAGGGGTCTGGGGTGGGGGAAGTCTGCACAGGCGTGTCATTCCCGGTGAAAAATTAAGATTTCATTGCAGGAAATGCAAAGCTACATGGAAGAGGCAGGTGCTCCCCAACTCTGCAAGCAGGTGTGACTGGTGGGCACTGGCTGGCGCCAAAATGTGTGGCTCCCACAGTGAAGCCCCCTCCCCGTTATACCTTCCAGGTGCGCCGCGAGCAAAACACCAGGCTGCTGGAAACAGCACCCTGTACGTGTATCCACAACCACCCACAGAATGGACTCTCACAGCTGCCCACGCCACTTCCTTCCCCCTTTCTTCGCCAGGCTTTTATGCAGAGCATTCTTGGCGCGGAGTGAGGCATAAACTGCCTTCTCATGCGTTTCAGTCTGCTTTAACATCGTCCTATTGATCTGAGTCATGGCCGGGCTTGGGAGAGGCCCTGAACGGAATTTCGTGGCTCTAGAAGAGATGCAAAGGGCTCTGGAAGAGGCCTTACTCTGGCCTGGACAATGGAGGAGGCAGAGAGAAGCAGCCGGGGCGCCACGGCCTCTGGGGATCCCCGGCTGTGACCCAAGCCCCGTGCCTTGCGCCGCCTCCGGGCCATCCAAACACCCCGGGCCAGAGATGCTTCCGAGCCGCAGAGCGAAGGTGCGGAACCCCTTCCAGCCCAGGGGCCGGACTCCACCAGGAGGAGCTCTCGGGGCCCACGTGCCAGTGGGGCTGGCTAGAAGAGCCCCCGGACTTGCCCTGCCTCCCCCCGCTGGCCAGGCAGCGCTGGGGCTAGATGGAGGAGGAGGAGGGCAGCCCCCATGCTGCCCGGCCCTCTGCCCTCGGGGCCAGCGAGCAGGAGCCCCCAGGGAGCAGCACAGGAGGGCAGCCGGTGAAGGGCCCGCCAAGCCCCGGGGCTGCCGCTGGATCAGGACCCGGCCTTCTTGGGCCTCGGCCTGCGGGTCCACAGGGCATCGCCGTATGTCCGCGGAGACACGCGCAGCTGCACCGCCGAGCCCACGTTCCAAGGCACGTCCACCCAATTCCAGGGCCAAGGAGCGGCCGGCCCCACGCCCTGCTCCTGCGCTTCCCGAAGATCTGGCCAGAAACGGGAGCCGCACCTGGGGCCGACCTCTCCGTGCTCGTCTCCCGGCACTTGCTCTGGCGAAGGGCCCCAGCGGGCCCCAAACCGGCATCCTCAGATGGAGAGGACCACGAGGGGGGCCTTTCTGCCCGGTGCCAGCCCCCACTCCTGGTGCTCCAGGATCTTTGCAGGGGGATAATCCCCAGCCAGGCCTGCCCAAGGGCCCCCCCCCACACCATCCACAGCCCCCCATTCCCTCCCTCCCACCCCCTTCTTCCACCGTGCGTTGGCCTGGGGTAACAATGGCTCTTTATGCTGCTGGAATAGATTTGCACAATTACAGCACCCCCCCCCCCCACACACACATGGGAGGGGGGGGGGGGGGGGGGGGGGGGGGAAGTAGCAGGAGATGAATGGGGCCGACAGTCACTTTAACGTTCAGGCGCGTTAATTACCGGTGACAGATAAAATTGCTTTTTTAAAAAATCATCCAGCGGCCTCACGGAGACACTTGGGGGGTCAGTGCCGCAGCAATTAAACGGCTGACACTGCATGGGAGACGTCTCAGTGGGGACGGCAAGGAAAGGGGGAAGAGCCCCCCCCCCAGCAAAGCCTTCCCTGCTCTGATGTTGCGGACTTTGGAGCCTGCCCTTTCGGGGATCTCGGCACGGGGCCCCAGGATCAGCTGGGCCGGGTCCTGTCGCCAAAAATGGCAGCCCGGGATGGCGCTACGCAGCAGGTGGAGGGGGGGGCATTTCCTCCTCCCCATAATCCTCCAAACTGGGGGCACCTGGTGAAAATGGATTGCCGGGGAGAGAGATGAGCAAGAGGCCTGTCTTCAAACACACGTCCCGCAGGAAAGATGCAAGGAAGCTGCCCGCCTTAGAGGGCTCTAAAAGCGGCTCAGAGACATTCCCGGAAAGGAGGAATCGACTGTGCAGTTCCTCCATCTTCCGGCGCAGTCTATCGCTGCACTGTCGAGGTGGGAGAGAACCGTGGTCCTCCAGGGCCCGGCGGGGGGCTTCTGATCTCCTCTGGGCCCATCCGGAGGCTTGGCTGACCTCGGTCTGATCCAGACGTTTTTCTGGCGTGGCCCAGAGCCCAGCGCTCAAAACAAGACCTGCCCTTGGATGTCGGCTTGGACTCCTGCGGACCACCTTCTGGGAGGTACGAGCCAGGGACCCCTGCGGATCGTCCCAGTGCCATCCAGCTGGCCTAGCGAGGGCCGGACCTTGCCCCCCGGGCTTGCAAACTATAGTTCAAGCAGCTGGGAAAAGCGCAGGGGAGGGCAGGGAAACTGAGGCAGGAGGGGAGGGAGGCCGGTCCACGAGCAGGCGTGCTGGAAGTGCGGAGTGGGGGGAGAGCACCCCAGTAGAGGGTTCTCCCCCTCCTCGCCTGGCACCCTGCTCCGGGCCAGACAACCGAGGCGCTGAGGCCTCGGCAGAGACACACCAGTGCGGCTGCTGAGCGGCGAGCGGACGAGGAGACCTTTCCCCCCCGTCTCCTTGTGCCGGAACCCAAGAGACTCTTTCCGTGAAACGGGTGGGAGGCGCTTCCGGCCCGGCCCAGGCCGCTCGGCGGTGGAATTCCCTGCCACGCCGGACCCCCATCTGGGTGGCTCTTTGCACGTTCTGGGCTTGATATCACTATCAATACGTATTTAGGTGAATTCATTTCTATTTATTAACGAACTCCGTTCTCACTGTGCCTTCCCTCCCAAGGCGGAACGCACACTCCTCGGCTACCTTCCTGTTTATGCTCACGACACTCTTGCGCGGTGGGCTAGGCAGACCGCAGTGGCTGGCCCGACGTCACCCAGTGAGCCCCAGGGGCCAGCGGGAGCTCGGACCCGGATCTCCTGCGCCCCCCGAGGCCCGCAGCAAAGGGCAAGGAGCTCACCCGAGGGCCAGGCGAGGGCAGGAGGGCCGGGGGGGCTCCATGTGCCCAGGGACGCGCTGGATGATTTTCTGATGGCGGAGCCGCAAAGCCTTCCCAGGCCAAGGCAAACAGCCCCCTGCTGCATCGAGGGGGCGGAAGGCCGAGCGGGGGGAGGCTGGCATCGCTTTCTGCCAGCCAGCTGTTGACCAGGGCCTGCCCCCTCCCCTGCACACTGCCCCCGTGGCAGGCGCGCAAGCCACCAAATCCGATTGCTTCCCAATGAACCCAGATTAGTGCCACGGCGGCAGCCCCGGGGCTGAGCGAGCCTCGGGCGATGCCGCGTGGCTGGAGGAGAAGGGGGAGCCAGCGCACCTGGCCGGGGAGCCAAACGACGTTAACGGCTCGATTCCCCTCTGCGCGGGAGCTCGTTCCAAAGCCCCTAACTCAATTGAGGCTCACGCGCCGCCACTCCGGCCTCTCAACACCTGCTCCAGTCGCTGGCCAAATTAGGTTCCCTCGGAGCGGCTGGGCCCGGAAGGAGGCGGCCGCCGTCACCCGCCGAACGCTCTGCTCCGAGGGCTCGCGGTGCTGAGGCCGGCAGGCTGCGCTCGGCAGGGGGAAGTCGCTGCGCGGTTCACCTGCAGGGCGGCAACCGGTCAGTCCCAGCAGGGCCAAGCCGAAAGTGGGCTGGTTCCTCCGCTCCTCGTCTCCCTTCCGTCCACCCACTCAGGCCACAAATTGAGCTTTGCCAGGGCTTAGTCAGGGAAAGTGGCAAGAGTGCCTCTGGCCGTGTGCAGAATGCTTCCCATCACGGCCTCCACAAAGAAATAAGGGAGCACACGGTTGCCTTGGCCACTAGTCCAAATGGCCACTATGGGGGGTGGGGGTTAGACAAACCCACGGAGGAGCGAAGGGGCAGCAACGCATTGTCTGCACCCGGTCGCAGTCCCAGGTTGTGGCCTTCCTGCCCCATGCAAAGCTTCTGCAGCACCTGTGGGAAACAGGTAAGCCTTTGACCGGAGAAAGGACCGGTGTTGGCCAGTTGCTGCCCTACTGGAAGGCAAAGTGGGGAAAGGAACAGAGCCCCGGATCTGCGCCCGACGCGAAGGGTCAGGAACCTTCAGTAATTGAAATAAATGAGCAGCACTGACTTGGTTAACTGATCGCGCAAAGAGCCCTGCTTGGATTTTCTGCCTTGGCCGCCAAACGGACAATTTGCAGCGACGGTAGAGAAGTGATCCTGAAGTGCTTCTTACACCGCAGCTACACCAGCCTTCCTCATGCTGCTGCCCTCCAGTTTTGCTGGAACGCAACACCCATCATCCCCAGCCAGCATGGCCAGGGGGCCCCAGAGTACCAAGCACAGCCATGGGCTCAGCCTAGCTGCCCGTGCCCATGCGCACAGCACCTCAGCCCCGAAGCCTCGCTCCGCCAAAAGCCTGCCAGCCGTCCTTCGACTGGCCTACCTTGCAGGGATGTCATGAAGGTCAAAGGGGGTAACTCAATTTCTGGAGCAGGGGAAGCAGTTCTGAGCCGAGAAGCGGCAGATGAGGCAGGACTGCCGATTCAAAAGCAACAGGAGCCGGAAGAAGCCTTGCAAAGAGGCGAGGGGGCCGACAGGGCAGGGCCGGCCGCGAGCAAGGCCCGACCGTCTCCCCTCCGCTGCCGGCAGCCGGGCTGAGCAGCAAGGGCGGGCGCTGGCTGGGGATTGATAAATTGCTGTTTAAAATATTACCATATGCCACTTCTGATAATTAGCCAACAGCCCCAGGAGACAGCTGTAACGAGAGCTCTCAAGAAATAATTAGCACGATTCTTCCACTTCACCGACGCCTGCCCTCAGACGTCACCGGCTCCCAAGATATGCCTGCTCTGCGGCGACAGCTGGGCAGCTCGGGGACCAGGCGGGCCCCCAGGCGGCGTCCCCCCGCCCGCCCAAGGGAAGGCAAGCCCCGGTGGCGCCTCCGTGGCGCGCTTGGGGGCTGCCGCAGCCGGGAGGGGACGACGGCCGTGGGGTGGGCACCCGGGACCAGCTGGCGCGATCAGAGCCAGCCTTCTCCAACCTGGCCCGCTGGAGGATGGCACGGACTGCACCGGTGATGGGAACTGCGGTCCAGGGCATCTCGGCATGGGCGGTACCTGCTCTAACAGGGCACCAACTGTCCCATTTCAGCCCCAGAGGGGCATGATGGTTGGACTGGGACCCGAGAGATCCAGGTTCTAGTGTCCCGACTCGGTCACGAAACTCGGAGGGTGACTTTGGGCAGCGCCCCCTCTACCTCGCAGGGTCCTTGCGAAGGGACTAACAGGGAGGACAACACCCTGCACAACACCCTGAGGCTCCTCAAAGGAGGAAAAGAGGCTTCCCATCAGTGTGAGAACGAATAAAAAATAAAGCTCAAATAATAGTGTTGCATCTTCTGTGCACACGCACTTCTAGGCAGCAACCTGGCGCTAAGCCAGACCCATCCCTGACCCCCGGGGGCCTTTATGCAGACTAACCCCCCCCCCCCCCCCCAAGCCACCTCAGCCTGCACGGCACTTTTCCCCGCCACCACTGAGACGAGTTGCCCATTTTCACTGCAGAGCAAAAACACCTTTGCAATCCTGCAGGAGCACGAGGCGTCGCTGGTGGAACTGCCGTGCACCAAAGCCCATTCTCCCCCGAAGGGCACCAAGTCCGACTTTTTTGCTCACGTTCCCTTCTAAACTCTCGCTGAAGGCTGGCAGCAGCCTGGAAGGTGCCTTTTTAAACAGGGAAAGCGCCGGGTGGCTTTTATCCCCTAGAACCAGAATCGGATCAGACGTGGTCCAGAAAAGTGCGGGACTGCGGGCCGCCAGCGCTGTTGAACGGGCCGCCTCAAACCCCCTCCGTCCGGACTCTAATCCTGCGGGCATTTCCCACACAGCCCCCACCCCATCTGGGCCCTTGCCCCTTGAACTTGGCACCGCTGCACACCTATCCGGAAAAGCACTCCGGCCCTCGCAGAACTGGGACTCTCTTCGCTCGGATGACAGACCTCCCGTGGCACAGTTGCCAGCCAGCCTGGAGGGCTCCTGGCGTCTGGATTTTCCGACGGCAGCAAGGAAACTCTGGCCGTCGAAATCCCTGTGCGGGGGAGATCGCGCTTGAACCTGCTGGGTTGTGTGGCTTTGTTCAGCCTCGCCCACGCGACACGGAGGGTCCAGAGAAGATCTTGAGCTGTGTGCATTTGTTTAGGTCCTTTTCCGGGACACTGATCTTGGAATGGCTAGAAAGGTCTGCCCCAGAAACTATTTTAGCCCCCTGCCTGGTACCTAAAAGTCCTCATCTTCCCCTGCTTGAGAAGGCCTCTTCCGTACTGAATCACCCAAGCCCCCGTCCTGCATCCAGAACCTCAGCCATCCAACAGAGAAACCGATGCATTTGGGGTCAGGCATGGGTACAGCTACGGGCTTTCGAACTGCTTAAGAAGGATGCTGCCATGCAGCTTTTACCCTGCACTTTCTACTGCAAGATAATCTTGCCGATATAGCAGTTGTGTTTCAGAATGCCAGAGGGCAGCTTGGAGGGCCAGCCCTACAACTGTTCCCGGAAAGACAAGTCAGCGTTCCTGGTCACCAGGCCAGGGACCGTGCGTCTCCCGCGCGTGTTCTCACTTCCGCTGACAGAGTCACCAAGCAGGAGCAGCTGCGCCGTGTGTGCCGGCCGACCGGGTCGTCACAGCGCTTTAAAAAATCCGGGTTGCTTTGCTGCACGGCTACAGTATTTATGCGCTTTATAGAAAATTTTAAAAGCCGCACCTAACTGTTCACTGCTTTGTACTGCCAGGCCGTTTGGTGTTTGTCATTTTAACCACTCCTAATATTTTCCTGAAATCACATAAGCTCCCGTGGGATGCAGAACAACGTGAAGGCGAAGAGAGAAACACATTAAAAACCAATAAAGTGAAAGAAATAAATACAGTGGCAGAACCGGGACAGAACGTGAAATCTTTGGGGTACAGACAGCAGGAACCCCTGAAGCCCTTTCATTATCGCCTTTCCATCTCCATGCGAGTTCCTGTCCCGATGCTGCTCAGCACCGTTCCTTTTAGAGCCGTTTTGGGCATAATTGCATTTCTCTGTTCTCCTGCTCAGTCACTCAAACACTACCTTGTGGGGGTTTGGAGTCCTGAAAGGCGGTTTAGAAATGAAGCAGAATTAAATATCTGACAAGAGAAGCAAGCAAGACAGGTCTGGCCCTGGAGAGGCCGTGACGGGGGTATTTGTGCGCCCGGGGGGGCATTTATGCGTGTGAATTTCTGTCCCGCTTGCCAAACGATCTGGCCAGCCGTGGGCGCAGCGGAGGCGGCAAAATGTTCTGGATGGCCCGGCCGAAAACCGAGGCACACTCACCTGCAGGATGTGGCCCCCCAGGTGCTGTTCAAAGAGCTCTGTCAGCAGGGCGCTTGCGCTCCTCCGGCCGGATGCTGCCAAAAAAGCGAGAACCAGCCATCAGAGGCGTCATCCACCGGCTCCTGCGAGGCAGCCCCCCGAGCGCCCACCCCCGGCCCCTCCGGACTCCCGGCGTGCAGAACTCCGGGGGTGAAGAGCGCCTGCTGCTGGCCGGGGGAGGCTCTCTCCCCGCGGCCTCCACGATCCCCGGGCAGTGGGATGGCGGGGCGGAAGAGGAGACCGCGCCCGGGCAAATGCAGGAAGGAAAGGGCCGACCTCGCGCGGCCGTTTTCCGCAACCCCCCCGCATTGACCACGACATGCGCTCCGGCCGGCAAAGGCAACGTTCCCCTGCTGCAAGAAAGGGGAGCCACCAGGAAGAAGACCCCGCTTCTTGGGGTGAGACAGGCGCGAGCACCCAGCCCCGCACGGCGCCAGCCAGCCCTCGCTTGGCTCGCTCGTCAAACGCCCCGCCAGGCCGGTCGGAGCTCTAAGAATACTTTTTTCCAATGCTTCTGTTCAATGGCCCTGAGAAAGGATGTCATGGAGGGCACTTCTGAGCATGAACAGAGTGCAAGTCACTTGTCATTTTGAAAGCGGAGCCCACTTCCACAGTCATTTCCAAGGACTGCGGGCACCAAGTGGCCCTCCTGGCTCTTGCATTCACCAAACGCAGGGAGAATTTGCAGGCAGAGCTGCAGCTGACTGCCCACACCCCAGATCGAGCCCCCCCACCCCCGCACAATGTGCCCCCTTCAGTTCTCTGGCTAGAAGGAGCTGGGCAGGCACTTTCTGCACTCAGGGAAGGGAAGGGAAGGGAAGGGAAGGGAAGGGAAGGGAAGGCCTAGCCTGGCGTGAGGGGACAGCAGCCAAGGCAATGAAGGAGCGGCACTGCAGGCCATCACCTTTGCTTGTGCCCCGTCCGCCCCCTTCGTCATTCCCCCTTCCTTTATGTACTCGGGCAAAAAATCAAGCCAGAGGGAGATTCTGGCAGAGGAGAAGTCGGGATCCCTTGCAGGAAGCGCCTTGAGGGCGGGGGGGGGGAGGGGAGCCTGGCCAAGTAATTGGCGAACCGCAGGCCCATCGTCACCCAGGGGCCGCTTGCCTTGCCGCTCCAAGCCTTGGGAATTTTTTTATACAGGAATGCAAGGAAAGGAGGGTCCCGGCCGGCCGGCGGGGCACATGCAAGCACAACCCCAAATTCGGAGGGGTGCGTGTGCGCACACACAGAGTAAGGGCCCCACCGCACAAACAAGCACACACACTTACTCCAGGGGAAGACAAGGACAGGGCTGGGGGGCGGGGGGGGGGACAGGACATGCCATTGTGCTAAGCACATTCCTGGGAGATGGGATTAGAATACTTATCAGCTCTGCATTCAGAGCTCCCCAGCAAAGCTGAAAAGCTCACAAGACCCCGGCTTAACCTTTCTTTCAGCCCCTTTGCTCGGTGAAGGCGGGAGGGGAAGGGGGGGAGCCGGGAAGCGCCGGCCAGCCAAGGCGGCAAGATGGAGAGGCGTCCGGAGACTCGCGCCAAGCACTGCTCTCGGCTTCTGCATGGCCACCGGACCGGCACGCAACCCCACCGTCCAACGAGCGGCGTGGCTTCGCCCTCTTGACTATGGGGCCCGTTAGGCACACCCGGAGCAGAAACAGAAATGCCGGTCCCAGGTCCTCTGGGCAAACCCAGACCACGCAGGACCAGAGGCTGAATCGTGCCACACTGGACGGGGCACCGCAAACGGGCCCCACACCAGCCCGCTCTGCAGGGGCACCGGGAGTCTTCCTGCAACAGCCCAGCTGGAACAACAAGGGCAGCGGAAAAGGCTTGTGCCACCTTTCCAAATTACTTGTAATTAAATGAGAGATAAATACTTTCCAAGGGGCTGATGCCACGGGGATTCTCTGAGCCAGCCCCACCGCGCACAGACGGCCCTCTGTCCCAGAAGAGGGGCTGCCTTGTCCCCATTCCCTCGCATGGCATGGGGACCTTTCCCCGTGGCTCTCCGGGCCACAGTGGGACCCACGTCCATCTCCAGATGCGTGGGGCTCCAGCTGGCTGGGGGATTCTGGGAATTGTCACCCAGCCCATCTGGAGGGTCCCAGCTCAGGGCGAGCGAGCTCAGACAGGCGAGACACAGAAACATTCACTTCCTGGACCCCGGAGCAAAGGGAGGTGAGCAAGAAAAACACGCTCCCCTTTTCGTAGCTCACTTTCAAGGAGAATTTTATTGAAAAAAAAAGATTTTCCTTTCTTCTTCTTTTTTTTTTTAAAGAAAATAGCTGCAGCACCAGGCAGCCTCAGAGATGGCATATATAATGGCTGTCTCCGTTATCTGTACGCATTTACTTGTAACTAACAAACAGAGAACTCCCTTGACAGACACGCAGAACAATACCACTGCTGCTAATTGCTGCAATTTGTTCTGTCATTTTCTTTAATTCCTTCATTTTTCCTCTCTTGAAATAACCCCATGGGTCAGACAGAATGCTCCTATAATTAAAAGCATTTAATGTAAGAATTAGAAAGCTGCTAGGATTACGGGGAAGGGGAGGGAAGGCAGCAGAGTCTCCCTTCCCCAAGTTTGCAAGTTGCCAGCTTTTAAAGCCACAAAACATGGGGGGGACAGCACAGAAAACACGTGCTCCTTTCAAACACCCCCTCTCCAAAAACTTCTAACAAGGCGAAAGAGGATGATTGAGTGATCGATCGATCGATCGATCGATCGTGGGAACTGGTCTGAGGCGGTGGAGCGCTGGAGTGGGTCTCAAGCGCGACAGAGATATGCAGGGACAGTCTGGTCAGTGGGTAGCGACAAGGAGCTTTGGAGGTAAGGGTCATGCTAGCGCATCAGATGATGATCGAGATGCGTTTAGGACAGAGGAGAAGGAAAAGATGAAAATGGGGGAACCGTACAAGAGTTTCTAGAGTCTCTGAACACCCAAATTCTGCTCTTCACCGTGCAGTGTTTTTGTCCGATATGCAAAAGAGCCGGGCTCATGCATTATTCCTTTAGTAAAGCAAGTTGCTGGAGGATGGATGCGGGTGGGCTTGTATTATTATTTCCAGAAAATCTGAGAGGTAAGAGCCGAAGACGAGCCCCACCGGGTCCGGCCAAGGCCCAGCCCGGCTTTCTGTCTGCCCATGAGCAGCCTGCCTGCCCGCACAGGGAACGGCACCTCCTGCCCAAGCTCCCCAGAGATCACAGCTGCGCCCATTTTACAGAGAGACCTCAGTTTTCCCCAAGACTTGAGCATGAGAGCCCCTAGAGAGTGTGGGGGCTTTGATGGCCTCCAATTCAGGCGCTGTGGGGCATTGCGATAGGAGCCGAGGCCTCGCTAGCGGCCCGTGCAAGCCTGCGCTATTTTCGGACGGCGGCTGAGGAGTGGCGAGGCTGAATGCTTCTTCACGGTACTGAATTCCCCACCTGTAGAAAAGCAGCGTGTTGAAGAGAAGGGGTCCAGTCTAGCCCTTCCCATGATATCCTAGCTTTCTGTGGGTAGGGAATTTATTGGCACGGCGGCCGTCCTCTCCGCCCCAGCTTCAGTCTGGAGTGGCAACGACTCATGAGAACTGGGCCTGAAAGCATAAATATTGAGGCTGATGCTGTAAGTTCTGCTATCCTGCTTTATTTCCCTTTTCTTTCTTTTGTATTAAGAACGACATAAACAATCGTGGATACATTCAATATTATCCTCTCTCTTTTCTTTTCTTTCTTGGCTTCCCCCCTCTTCCTTCCTTCCATCTATCCATTCATGTGTGTTTGTATATGTTTCCGCTGTACATACAAATAACTTTAAAAAAAACCGGATATTAACTTGTAATATAAGATTTTATTTTCTTACTCTTCACAGCCTTGGCTTTGAGTGAAAAAGTGGGTTACAGACTTAATTTATGGGTAATTAAAAAAAAAATTCTCTGTGAGTTCATGAGGCCTAGCAACTTGAGCATTTGAATCACAAAAAGGGAAGAGTAGACCCCTGAGGCTTTTGGAAGAGAGGAAAGAGCCACTGTTGCCTTCCAATGCATGGACAGCAGCCAAGACACCCGGAGTCTGCTATCTGCATTGCACGAAACGAGGCCCGCTGGGGGCAGGCGGCAGGGGCGCAGAACTGTGGGCGGACAGACACGCACCGTCACGCAGCACATCCACGTAGTAATTTTGTCCTGTCATCATGCAATAATCATAATATTTCACCCTCCAGTGAACAACGGTTTTTAATCCCTTCAAACATGTTATTTCCCCTTCCCTCCACAGTAAGAAGCAGCTTTAGTTAAACAGTTTAATTCTGTTGCACCTGCAGCAGCCAGGCGAGCTCACATCTTGGGCGCCGGCTGGCTTTTGGGGCCCACCTGGTGCTCCCATACAGTCACTTCCTCCCGAAGCGGGCAATGTGGGCGCTACCGGTGTCCTGCCTGGCAACCCCTGCCAGCTGCCCCAAATCAGGCCTCCTGGGTCTGCACAGAACTGTCCCCTCGGCACCGTCTCTGCACCCCGTTTTCTTCTGCCTCAAATGCTGGGACGCCCCCCCTTCACCGAGGCCATCAGCCAGGGCCCTCCTCCAGTGGGGAGACGGGTGGGTACTGGGGCCTGACCTTCTCGGTGGTGGCACCCGCGCTTTTGCACAAGCAGCCTAAAGCTGTTTGCTTGTGCAACACCCTGTTCGGAAGTCTCATTTTAATAAATCTTTTGTATGTCTGATCTTTTTTCTTGTTTAAAGTATGAAATATGTATTATATTTTGTATATTTTTGTTAGCAGCATTGCAGACTATACTCTGGAAAGGTGGGACATGCGTATTTTAAATGCAAGAAGTCAATACGAATATGGTGGGGGGGAGTATAACATGCTAATGGTTCTCTGGCTTGTGAGGAAAGTAACACACCATTTTAAGACCAAACACTCTACTCTACTACAAAAACCAGGCTTTGTTCTGCTTAGTTTTATCTTCACTGAAGTTTCTTTGAGCAAATCATTGTAAACTAAAGGCAGTTTTCTCAACACTCCAAGGAAAGAGGATGCAAAATATTTTTCCG